CTAGAGGACAGAGTGGAACTGCACCACAGGGTCTCCCAGGCTGTCAGTCTTCACAGAAGCAAAGCCCAAACCACACCCACTGCCCTGGAGTCCATTCTGACCCGCAGCGCCCCTAGAGGACAGAGTGGAACTGCCCTGTCGGGAAGCCAACCACCTCATCTTTCTCCTGTGGAGTGGCTGGTGGGTTCCAACAACTGAAGTTTTGATTGGCAGCCGAATGCTGTACCCACTGCACCACCAGAATTCCTGGGGGGTGGGGCACTGCAGGGATTGGATGAGAAAGGGCCAGCGGAAACGCTCCCAAACCAGGAGGAAAATGCTGTGGCAGCTGCGTCCCCTCCCCACTAAACGTGTTTGGAGCAGGCAGCCCCTCAGGCTCAGGGAGCAGCTCCCGGGCTTCTCTAAAGGGACCCTGCTCCCCGTGGTGGAAAGCTCTAGGGTGTGTGTCGGACCGTCAGCCACGCCTCTCCACCCTCCCCCCCCACACGGTTCTCCTCCCCTGCGGCGGGGAGGGTGCCGCCGATTACAGAAGTGAAATCGTTGCCGCGACGACCCACTCGGCACAGCGCCCCTGGCGCTCCCTCCCGGAGCCGCACCCTGGACCATTCTGGGGAGCGGCCTGGCCGCCTTGGAAGACCCCAGCTCCCAGTACTTGGGCTCAGTGTGTGAAGGCCCGGCTTCAGAGAGGACAATGGCATCCGGCCCTTCTGAGGTGGCGAGGGGTCTCAGGTGGTTCTCACAGACTCTTCCCAGCCCAGGCACGGCCAGCACCTGGCCCTGGGGTCTCCTGTCCTCCTGTCCTGCTTCCGAGACATTGTCAGCAGTCTTTCCGGCTGGGTCCCCACACCGCCTCAGAAGCCTCACCTCAGGTCCAGACGGCCTCTGCCCCGGACGAGGCTGGCATTTGAGATGGAGGGCATCTGCCGGCGTGCCTTAGCCCTTCCGACTCCGAAAGAACCCAGGAGCGTTGCCGCCTGGGGTGAGGAGCAGCACGTAGCTGTGCACAGGGGACCCCCCTAAGAGGCGCACCCTGGGGTGGCTGGAACCTCTGCCCGGCAGAAAGCAGCAGCCTGAGCAGAGGGAGAAGGGGAGGAGGCTCCCCCAGATCCAGGCCTCCTGCCCGCCCCCATCTCCTCCCTGCCTCCTGCACCCCCCTTCAGTCCACCAAGGCCCCGCCCCGGAGCGGTGATGCCCTCTGAGGTGAAAGCACAGCGCGGCACCGGATGGCCTGGGTCCACCCCAACCTGCCACCTAACCTCTCTGTTCCTCAGGCTTCTCACCATCCAACGGGGGCAACAGCTCCTGCCTCCAAGGACTTGTGAGGGACCCACGACTTCCCATTGCTGCTGTTCTCGCTAACTGTGGGCGACCTGGCACTGACCGTAAAACAGAACTAAGCGCTGCCCGGTCCTGCGCCCCCTTCAGGATCACCGGCCTGTGGAGTCCATGGTCGTAGCCACTGCGTACTTTGAGTGCCGTCCAGCCTAGGGGCTCCCCTTCCAGCGCTCGATCAGGCAACCTTCTGCCGTGAGCCGTGGCGCCTCACCGGCTGACTTTCAGAAGTGGATCACAAGCCTTTCTTCCACGTCTGTGTTAGTCTGGAAGCTCCACTGAGACCCCCATGGGTGACCTTGTCGGTATTTGAAATACTGACAGCATAGCCCCCAGCCTCCCAGCACCACACAAGCCACCACACGACGACTGACAGGTGGGCAGTGGGACGACCTAGTAAGTGGCACTGCTTGGACTGACGGCATTTGTTATTCTTGGTGGCGCATACAATGCCAGCATCTCACGGTGCACCGGTCTCACCACCCTGGACGGGGCGCACCACCGTGTAGAAAGCACAAAAACCGAGCCTGGCACCTGGAAGCCTTGATGAATGTTGGTTATGGTTACCCCCAAAATTCAGATCTTGTACCGTAATGCGAATAAGCAAACCACCATAACCGGAGCAGAGCTCCCTGTTCAGGCATCCTGATGTGTGTTCAGGTGAAGGTGTGCAGACGCCAGCCCAGGGAGGGTGCAGCGGGGGGCCTCGATGCCAGGGCTGCCTTGTCTGGCCTGTGTCTGCCTCCCCTCCCCCGATGAGGGGCTGCCTGACCCAGGGCCAGTGCTCAGTGTCCCAAATGTTTTTCTCAAACACTGCTTGCCTGCAGTATGATTTTATTTTTAAATTTTGGATCGTAATTTGGGTGCATGCAATATGATTTTTATTGGCTGAGTATTCCATGCCATTCATGGGCCATAATTCCTTCAACAAACCCCTGTGGGTGGCAGTTAGAGTTGGTTCTGGTCTCTGTGTTCTGACCAGCCCGGCAAGGAGCGTCCTGCTTCGTACAACTCTAAGGGTGCCATCAATGAAGCCCTCAAGGGTAATGGCTGGAGAAAAATGATGGGCTGTTCAAAAGACATCGCGGTCCTTATCATCAACCTACAGTTTAGGATATTACCCCCATGTTGGAGACCCGGGATGGTGCAAACACGTGCTTCGTGGCTGCAACAGTGGGCTGAGGCACGCGACATTGCGCAGGCCCGGGCAGTGCCTCGGTCTATGGTACACAGGCCACCATAAGTGAGAACCGACCCGGTGATGCCTACCAACAGCAAAGCTGCTGACTGAAAGGGTGGAGGTTCACATCCATCCAGCAATTCTGAAGAGAGGCCTCGTGACCCACTTTGGAAAAATTAGCCATTGGAAACCCTGTGAGCACAGTTCCGCCCTGACACCCATGGGGTCCCCGTGAGTTGGAGCTGACTCAATGGTTGTTGGTTTGATTCTGTTTATCCCCATTGTACAGTGGAGGAAAATGACGTCCAGAATCCACCTATTTCTGTTCTACTCCCTGGAAAGGAACCTCGGGTCTCTGTGCCCTTGGCTTAGAACCGCCTATCTCTGGGGCTCAGTCAAGCCCTAAAAGGATGTGGTCTGCTTCTCTGGGTCCCTCCACTGTTGGGCAGAACACTTGACTGTGCTCATCAGGAACCTGTACATAGACCAGGAGGCTGTCGTTCGAACAGAACAAGGGGACACTGCATGGTTTAAAATCGGGAAGGGAGTGTGTCAGGGTTGTATCCTTTTTCCATACTTATTCAATCTTTATGCTGAGCAAATAATCTGAGAAGCTGGACTATATGAAGAACGTGGCATCAGGATTGGAGGAAGACTCATTAACAACCTGCGCTATGCAGATAACCTAACTTTGCTTGCTGAAAGTGACAATGGCTTGAAGCACTTCCTGATGAAGATTAAAGACTACAGTCTGCAGTACTGATCACACCTCAATATAAAGAAAACAAAAATCCTCACAACTGGACCAATAACTAGCATTACACCTTTGAAGGCTAGAGTGTGCCTAACCGAAACCATGGCATTTCCAGTCTCCTCATATGCATGTGAGAGCTGGACAATGAACAAGGAAGACTGAAGGGTTGATGCTTTGAGTTGTGGTGCTGGTGAAGAATGCTGAGTGTACCATGGACTGCCAAAAGAACAAGCAAATCTGTCCTGGAGGAAGTGCAGCCGGAATGTTCCTTCAAAGTGAGAATGGTCAGACTTCATCTCTCCTACTTTGGTCATGTTGTAAGAAGGGACCATTCCCTGGAGAAGGATGTCGTGCTTGGTAAGGTGGAGGGTCAGCAAAGAGGAAGGCCCTCAATGAAATGCATTGACACAGTGACTGCAGTGATGGGCTCAGGCAGAGCAGGGATTGTGAGGCTGGCACAGAAGCAGGCAGGTTTTCGTTCTGTCGAACACAGGGTCGCTATGAGTCGGAGCCAACTCATAGCACCTAACAACAATGACAACAGCTGTCGGGCATTAAGAAGGTCATACTAGGGGCCGTAATGGTTAAGGTTGTGTCAGCTTGGCTGGGCCATGATTCTCAGTGGCTTAGCAGTTATGATGATCCCCCAGGATGAGCTCTATGTAATCACCCCCATGATGAGATGTGCTGTGATGTAATCACCTCCATGACGAGATCTCCCATGAGCAGCCCATCAGTTGAAAGGGAGTTTCTCTGGGAGTGTGGCCTGCTTCCAATATATATGGAGATTCTGGGAAAACTCTCTGGCTTTTTGGCTCCATCTGGATCCTACACCTGCTCAGCATTACCCGATCTCCAGTTCTTTTGACTTGAGCCATCGACCTGCCATACTGCCTGCCAATCTTGAGATTGATTCGTCAGTGTCCACAGTCTGTGAGCCAGCAACATGAGTCAGGCAAAGCCTGCAGCCTGGCGTCTTACCCACAGACTTGGACTTGCTAGCCTCTACAAGTGTGAGTCCATAAGGGGAGAGGTGTGACCAGAAAGTCTCTGAAGATTTCTGAGGAGCTGAGGAAGGACCTGGAAGGTGGAGAGTTAGAATTCCCCATCTCGGCTCTCCCTGAGGCCTGAGCAGACCCACCTGCCCACCACAGACCAGGACTCCACTCAGAGCAGGTTCATCAGCATGAACAGCTGGGACCCACCCGGGCTCTCGGGGCTTGCAGACCAGAGCCCGCTGCAGGAGGCAGTCTCGGCCTTCACCGCTCTGGAGTGGCCGCCCACGGAACTCTTCCTGCCCATCTCCGTGGTGGCTGTCACTGGGGAACACAGCAAGACCCTGAAGGCAATGGCGTGGGCCTGGCCCTTCGCCTGCTTCCCCCGGGGGCTCTGAAGCAGCCTCACTGGACAGGCTCGAAGACCTTGCTCAGAAAGTTCACCCCAGGAGAGGGGAATTGGAAGTGTTGGATTTATAGGCAATGACTCATTCCAACATCTGGGACATACTATACGGAATCTGGGCCAGGGCCTCTGTGTGCTCGTTAGAGGAGGCCAGGACAAAGAGTCGAGAAGCGGAAGATTCAAGGTCGGGGGAGAAGCAGCTCTTGGTCCCGTGGAGATACTCACGGACTCATGCCTCAAGGAAGCCGGCCCAGTGAATTCCTCACCTTCCTCCTTAAGAGGGTCAGGAGAGGAAAGGCCTGCCACAGCTGTGCTGTAGGGAGCTTGGGTTTGTTGATAAGCCCTCCTGAATCCACGTTATAGAGACCATCCAGGAAACGGTGCAGCTAGATGGTGTCCAGGAGGTGATAGGGAATTATCTCTGGGAATGCTCAGCGTGGCCTGGTTTGCTCCGTACCTGGGCCTGATGGTTGCTCTGAGCAGACTCTGTCTCTCCAGAATCATCCTGAACTCTTGGACTTCCCAGGACGTGGCGAATCTGCTTCCCCAGCTCACCCCTCAGTTGTTTGGTCCAGTGCCTCTACCTGCACTCTGTCCTCTGCATTCAAGGTCACCTGGACCAGGTACTCAGGTGCCTGGAGACCCTCTGGATAACTAACTGGAGTCTGGCTTGGCATACTGTCCTTGTGCCCAAGCACAAGCCACCTAAGGTCCCTGAACTTGAGGGATGCCATCCTGACCAGCTTAAATCCTGAGTTGCTCCAAGTTCTGCTAGAGAGAGCCTCAGCCTCCCTTCACCTCCTGGACATAGGTGCATGTGGCATCACGGACTCCTAGCTCCCTGCCATCCTGCCTGCCTTGGGCCACTGCTCCCAGCTCCTTCTCTTCAGGTTCCATGGAAACCAGTCTTCGTGGGTGTCCTGTGGTGCCTGCTTCAGCGCCCCCTCCCGCTGTGCAGGTTCAGAGTCCTGGAGTGGTACCTGGCCATCCAACACACTCTCCACCCGGGGAATCTTCAAAGGTATCTGGCTGAGCTGAGGCTGATATTCCAGGAGTTAGAGCCTTGGCCTGACTGCACGGGCAGCCACCTCAAGCCATGTAGGAGATCTGGTGGAACTGTTCCCTCGTTGTGATGTGTTGCTAATCTTAAACTCTGCCTGCAGTTAAAATCCCGTTGTGTTGGCTCTGTTAATGAGGCAGGATAACAGTGGGATGCCCCTTAAGTCACACCTTCACTCAAGTCACACCTTTGCCTCAGTCACACCTATTATGTCATAAGAGGTAACAGGAGAGAGAAGCCAGCAGAGAGAGGCAGCACCTCCTGCCACCAAGGAAGAAGGTCCGGGAGTGGAGCTCAGTCTTTGGACCCGGGGTCCCTGCGCTGAGAGCCTCCTAGACCCAGGGGAAGCCTGACGCCAAGCCAGATGAAGGCTGCCCAGGAGCAGAAGCTGAAATAGACAAAGACCTTCCTCCAGAGCCGACAGACAGAGAACGCCTCCTGCCAGAGCTGGTGCCCAGAATTCCGAATTCTACCTCCGAAAACTGCGAGAAGAATTTCCCATTTTCCAAAGCCCTCCACTTGCGGTAAATCTACTCCAGCAATGCTCCAAGATAAGACAGGGCCTTCCCTTCTGTTTCTGGCAGAACCGACTTTCCGACGAGCCTGGATATCTATGCATTTATTCTGGTCCTGAACACCGGCAGGCCCAGGCATCTGGGGTAATCACACTTTCAACTTCTCTCGGCTGCTCTCTGGAGCCTTCCCTCCCAGCTCGAGTGGCTGGCCCGCCATTCACCAGGCGTTGTATTAATTACGTGCCAGCACAGGGCTGCTGTCAAAGAACGCAGAAAGCAGTTTTAGGAAAAAAAAAACAAACCTTTTTCTCGCTTGGAGGCTCTCGTTGTGGAGACAGCGACAATTATGAATTACATCAGAGCTATTCTGGGTCATTGGGCGGGGGCTGGGGTGGGTAGGAGCCTGCTCTCAGCTCTTGGAGCAGACACTGGCTCTCGGGGGCCAGGCCTGAGACCACTTCCTCTCCCAGCCCCACCTCTACCTCCCCACCTACCCCTGGCGTGCCCCCCACGTCAGGGGAGAGGGGCTTGTCTTCTGAGCTGCTCGAGACCGGGTGTTGGAAGGCCCTGGTTTGTGTGAGCATCATCTCGTCAGAGGGTGTAAGGAAAGCCCTAGGAGGCATCCCCCCAATTTCTTTCATTTAAAATCTGGAACCTGGGCCTGGAAGTGGGGGACCTGCCCAAACTCACAAGCAAAATAGGCTGGGGCTGGGGCTGGCCTTTGCTCTCTGTCCTTCCCTAAGTGTCTGTAGTCCCGAAAGTCTCGGGGAAGAGCAGCGTCTTGGGTTGGACTTCCTATAGAGGAGACTTGGCACAGGGGGCAGGGGGCAGGGGCTGCTGGGAACAGTTAATGTTGAGGTGATGGTGTCTGCATTCTAACCCCCAGAACCTGTGGATGAACTTTGAAAAATTGGTCTTTGCAGAGGTAATTAAGAGAAGGACCTCCAGATGAGATCTTCTGGTTATGTTTGGCATAATACCATCACCAGAAAAACCAAGCACTGCTGTGGAGTCCATTCTGACCCACAGCGCCCCTAGAGGACAGAGTGGAACTGCCCACAGGGTCTCCACGGCTGTCAGTCTTCACAGAAGCAAAGGCCAAACCACACCCACTGCTGGGAGTTGATTCCGACCCACAGCCCCAGAGGGTTTCCAAGACTGTCAATCTTTACACAAGCAGACTGCCGCATCTTTCTCCTGTGGAGAGGCTGGTGGGTTCAAACCACCGACCTTTTGGTTAACAGCTGAATGCTTTAACCAGTGTGCCACCAGAGCACCTAATACAAGCACAGGTGTCCGTCCTTAAAAGGGTGAGACAGAGGGGGATTAGACACACAGCTGAGGAGGCCGTGTGAAGAGGGGGAGGCAGAGGCTGGGGCATGCCCCCACAGAGAAGGCGGCCGAGGAAACCCTACGGGGCACCCTATGGGGTGCTGTGAGTCAAAATTAACTTGATGACATTCACCACCACCGCAATGTTAGCCTCCTAACACCTGGGGGTGTGATCCGTGTCTGGAGCAGGCTTTTCTTTGACGTCACTGAGGCCATACCAGTGGGATGGAGGGGCCTATACCGCATCCCTTCTGGGTTAGCAAAAGAGCAGACTAGACCCAGAGCCGGGACCGCAGAAGAAGAGATGCCACGTGAGGATGTCTTCAAACCGAGGGACCATAGGATGCCCACGGCTACTCACGGGGAAGGACTCCACGGCCGAGACCCGGGTTTGGGGCTGGAGACAGGACACAGGTCATCTTTCAAGCCACACACGTGTGGCCTGTATGCTACAGCGGTGTGAGGGAATGCGACAGGGTCCCTCTTACATAGCCCTGAGAAGGCGCGGGAGGGACAGGCGCGTCTTGTTGCAGCATCGTTGCTAATCAGGAGAAATCAGGAACGCCCCGCACGCCTCCTGGGAGGAGCTGCTTGAACGCAGCGTGGGGCAATCAGCCCCGACTGGAGCCGGGCGACCGAAGCAAGGCAGAGCTCCTCGTCCTGCTTTGCAGGTCCTTGAAGGCTCCGACCCCACTGACCTCTCCACCGTCACCTTCTGTCCCTCCCTGTCGGCCCCATGTGCAGCCAACCCGGCCCCCGCTCCATCATGGACTCAGCTGTCAGGGGGAATTCTCTACCCAGCACAGTGGTCGAATGGGAGTCCGTTTCAACTGTGTCAGGGGCTCAGCGGGACCTGTGGCCAGTCCCTTCTCACCGGCAGGCCTCAGCGTCCGCGTCTGTGAAATGGGTTTAGACTCCCTGGGGCCTGCAGGCCACTCCAGCTCGGGTGCTTCTCCCCGTGTCTGCAGGGAGGCCGGGGTGACTTGTGACACCCTTGGATTCAGAGCCAAATCTGCCCCTGGCCAGATGTTTGGCCCTGGGCACCCCCGCCGTCCCTCTGGGCCTGAGATGGCCACCCTCAGCCCGGGCACCAGACTCCACAGCGTCCTCTCCGGCACCCACCCTCCAGCGCTCGTCTTTGCTGCTCACAGACCGTTCAAAGCCATGCCCCGTGCTCCCTGCCTGGAAACAGACGTGGGCGTGACCTGCTTTTGTCTTTGGTGGACAGAAGGCTATTGGCAGCAAACAGGGCACGTCCTGACCCAGTTCACCGGCTGCTGGCTCATTCTGGGGACCAGGGAGGTGGCCTTGGTCAGCCCAGTGTCCCCCCAGCCTCTTGGGGGACTAGTCAGAGAGCGCCTGAGCCCCGCTGGTAAACAGAGCGGAGAAAACAGAATTGCTAATTGGAGGAAACGCTCCCTGTGGGATTGGGGAGCTCTTAAAATGCACAGCCCGGCTTAGCCGCCTGGACTGAGGGAAAAGTACCATGCACAGAGCCCCGGAAACAAACGCACCAGAGGGATGAGCAGCAAAGCGGGCAGGACGCCCAGCCTGGCAGGCACCAGGGCCCCGGGGCAGCCTCACAGTGTGCCCTGGTCACCCAGGCCTCAGAACCTGGAGGCAGGGGTGGGGGCACGGCTCCCTTCATGAGCCCAGAGGCCCCAGTGCTGGGAAGAGGGCAACATCCTTGGACCCCCCGGGGCTCTGGCTGGTGGGCCCACGGGGGAGGAGGTGCCGGCAGCCTGGAGGTCACACTTGGACCAGCTGTTGTTGAGCTGACCCGACTCGCGGCGACCCCCGTGTGTCCGAGTACAACCGTCCTCCACGGGGTGCTCGGTGGCTGATCTTCTGGAAGGGGCGTGCCCGAGCCTCCTTCCCAGGTGTGCCTGGGTGACCCAGACCTCCGGCCTTTCACTCAGCAGTTGAGGTGTTAACCGCACCCCCGGGGGCTCCACCAGGCTTCAGGTAATCCTCCCTCAGGGCCTGAACTCGCACCCCATTTTCACATGAGGAAACTGAGGCTCAGAGAAGGGGCTCGGCTGGGCTTTAACCACCACGTCATGTCTGAGCGCCATCACACTGTCCCCCCGTCTTCCATCCTGTCCTCCACGGGCAGGGGGCACCTCCCGGCTCATGTCCCGAGTCTCATGCGTTCATTCAACGAACCTGTTTCCTGTTGCACACGTGCATATCACTTGGCGTTTGCTGGTTCAGCGTTTTCACAGGCACACAATTTAGTGACTCCTGCTACATTCATGTTGTGTGACCGTCACCCATCGTCACCCATCACATTGTCCAATGGCAGATACGAGGTACCTCCCCTCCCCCTGCGCCTGCCCCCATGTGAAAAGCACACTCTAACTTCAGGTGGGGGGAGAGGGCACCACCACCCGCAGCATCAGCCCAAGGCCGATTCCCATGAGGCTGAGGTCAGACATCCTGTCGCCCTGTAACCTCCTTACCAACCCAGACACCAACCATCCCTCCCACGGTTCTCCCTCCTTCTCTGCTGCTCTGATACTTGATGCAGTGGCCACACATAACTCACACACCTTACTCAGTTACGGGGTTTATTAGGGAACACAGTTCTTACTGAGGACAGCTGCCACTTGCCCTCTGTGCCCAGGCCCCGCTCAGGGGTCCGCCAGCAAAGGTAACAACTCTTAGCCCCATGGGTCAGCAAGCCCCACACAGCCCTCTTGCCAGTCTTAGTCCCTGCCACCTTTTGGCCTATTGTTCTTGCTACTGTCACTGTCTCTCAACATCTTCCACGCACAGCTCTCCCCACCACCCCGTGTCTCCCTTTAAGCCCATCGGGATGGCAAAATGACCAGTCCTTTTGTTAGGGTTCCTCACACCTTATTTGCATGGTCCCACCCTCACAAGGGTGCCATGCCCTTTATTTATATTATTAGCAAGCTCTCCACCAGCACCTCATTTGAACAGCCCCACCCACCCAGTCATTTACTGGGAGTTACAAAGACAGCGGCTAGAAGGGCTGTACTAAGTAATTCACAGCACACCTGGTGACCATCGGTAAGCTTAGGTCTCTGGACATGGCCTCTTCTTGTCACTTCATGTAAGTGAGATCACACGGCATCTGTCCTTTGCTGACTGACCTCTTTCATTCCACATAATGTCGGCAAGGTTCATCCAGGTGGTGGCTTTATTTCTCTTCATGGCTGACTGAT